TATTGTCATCAAATTGAAAAATAAATATTTATGCAATATTTTTTATCATAAGCTAATAAATATTGTCCTCAAAATAAAAAATGAATATTGATGCAACATTTTTTATAATTGACTATTAAATATTGTTTGCATGTTAATTAATAATAAATATTGTTTCCTCAAATTCCTCAATCATAATTATTGTTATTATATTTAAAATGAAAAACAAAAATCTTATCTGGGATCGAACCCGAGACTACGACGTTAAGAGTCGGCAACGCTAGCGCTTAGCTATCGACTCAACGGAACGAAAACAACATACGCCAGATATATATGGCTGTAAATATTTAACCATGTAATTATTCACCCTTACAAATTAAAAGGTAAAAGATACGTAAAAAGTTTATTCGGACGAAAGATGCGGAATAAAATTACGAATAAAATGATATATAATTCAATATGTGTGTTCGTATAATTATTTTCAGATTTTTCAATTTTTCTTGAATTTTAGCACTGCAACTCGCCCATAGGCCAAACCGTTTGAAATACTAAGTTGTGATATGTGGAAGAAAAACTAAGAATTTTGAGACGATTCTAATGATGTATAATACTTTATACGGTTTCTTTATGAAAACCTCAAATGTTGAGAATAGTATAAAAATTCAGTTTTCCTTTCATTATAAAAAAGTTATAAATGTTACAGGGTAATTTATTTTAAATACTGTCCGATATATATAAAACTAATTGAAAACTTTAATTTTATTTACTCATACAATTATAAAATAAAAAAATAATAATAAATGGACTGGGATTTGAACCCCAAAATCAAAATCAAAAGGCTGCGACGCTAGCCATTACACCACCAAGATATACAATCTTGTTGTAGTAACTCACTATCCTGAACCGCAGGTATAAGGTTCTAGATCTTTCTATGCCTTCTATGCATGACGTATGCCTACAAGAAGCGACGCGCGTCACACGGCGTCCTTAGCCTTTAATGCAAAATTGTTAATTATAGTATGTTTTAAGATACTAGTTTTGCTGGAAATAATCGAATAATATTTTCAGTTATGTGTAATGTGTAATAGTGTTATAGTGTACATTGTTTTCTAATGTGTGTAATGTGCATTGGTGCGAAATATATACCACAAACAAGTTTGGTTAAGTAAGCATTGTCTCTGAAAAATATACAATATTTCATTTCTTTGTTGTTACTTTGGATTAAAATACAAAGGTTTGAAAGTTCAACTTAATTTTACGTCATCTGATTTGATTTGGGATGGATAGATTAAGTAATAAGTTATGTATATCTAACATAACCTTAGTTTTAATAGACGAATTCTTTTTACTATTGGTGAGTATAATACTTAATTATGCGTTTATGCATTGTAACTAATAGCTATTTATTTTTAGAATAATTACTGCTAACTACATTATTATTAGTATCTCTAATAAATAATCGGAAACTAGCTATTCGAAATGTCAAAATTTGCAAGTTTTCAATAAAAATGGTAAGAAATGCAAGATAATTTTATTTTTCTCACTAAGGATTTTTATATTGATCAGGAGTTTAAACACATTGAGAAATCAGTTGTACATATTACGTGAAATATAATAAAATATAACATAATAAAATATAACATAACCTAATCTTTTTGAGTGAAGACATACTGCACTTTCATATTTATAAAAGGTAAGACAATACTTGTTATAATATAATTATATGTCTCTGCATTTAAAACATATTCTTATTTATTTTCAGGTAATATTGTTGTAAGCGCAGAAAATAGAGAAACTGGTTTGCTTAGTAGTAAAATGTTATCGAAAAGTTTTTCATCAAAAGTTTGTAACTAAATAAGTTATAGAAAGGAAAGATATAAATTTTGACAGAATAGTCATAATGTTTGATTATAATAAATGCAATGTGGAATGTCAATAAATCTGTACATTTGCATAGCAAGATTTTAGACTATGATATGAAGTCATTATTTTTTAAGGTAAAAGTAGAGTCGAGTGCATTTTACAATCTCATTTTAACGCTTTCATAAATTAATCATATTGATAATATATAATGATATATTATAAATTTATTAACAAGGAATACGAGGTTTCAGATGACAATACAAACTTGGACAAAAATATTTTGGGGTTATGATTGAAAAAGTTTCCCAGTCACTGTTCTAGACGATGAAATAAATATTTCATAATGGATAATAAATATATTAACAACAAATAAAATATGTTCAGATGCTGTGAAATGTTTTATCGAGTGATGATGTTATAAATAGTTAAGTTAATTTGCATTTATTACTTTTATTACTTTACCTACCTTACATTTGATATATATCACGTAAATTATAATCGAATAATTATTCGATTATAATTTACTTGATATATATCAAATGTAAGGTAGGTTTTCCAATGACTGTTCTAGACGATGAAATAAATATTTCATAATGGATAATAAATATATTAACAACAAATAAAATATGTTCAGATGCTGTGAAATGTTTTATCGAGTGATGATGTTATAAATAGTTAAGTTAATTTGCATTTATTACTTTTATTACTTTACCTACCTTACATTTGATATATATCACGTAAATTATAATAGAATAATTATTCGATTATAATTTACTTGATCAAATGTAAGGTAGGTTTTCCAATGACTGTTCTAGACGATGAAATAAATATTTCATAATGGATAATAAATATATTAACAACAAATAAAATATGTTCAGATGCTGTGAAATGTTTTATCGAGTGATGATGTTATAAATAGGAAAGTTTATTTGCTTTTGTTATTGTTATAAAAAAAGTTTACTTGATATGTATTAATAAATATCTATTAAAAAAATAATCAATATTTATGACACTTTTGTGTTTTATAAATAATCATATTTTTAATGCAGTTATATATTTGTATCATTGTTTATATTTAATAAATGAATTTCCACAAAAACATTCTTAATAAATTTACGTATATGTTCATTTCAGAAATAAATAAATAAATAAATAAATAAATAAATTTCAGGTGTTTTATTGTTAAATAAATGACATTGATTTATGCGTTATATTATTTCAACTTCAAATCTTCAAATATTTGTGTAATATTTCAACATCAGTTATAAGTTTCAGAAAAATTTAATAATTCAATAATTAATAATTCTAAATGTTTACCAGCTCTCTGTCTAATTGTATATTACCTTACCAACATTCAACAATTTGTAGGCAACATTGGTTCCAAATTTCCAAATATAGACCAATATAGACCAATGTTGGTTTACCTATATGGCCTCAATATAAAAAATGTTCAATTTTTATGACCAGCCGATATTGGTTTCAAATTTGACCAATGTAGATTTTATATTGCTTGTAGATTCAGACCATATTAATTTCTACATGGGTATATATATATATATATATAAAGCAATCAATACTAATAACTTAATACAAAGTATATAATAACTTAATACATAGTATATATAAACAAAGTACATAAAAAAGTAGTATGGTAGTTTTACTGACATACTAATGATGTCCTCTTGACATCTAGCCGTAATTAATAAAACAAAAGTGATCTAAGTGATTACAATCATTTTTTGTTTTGCAAACTATATACTAAATGTTATATATTATTTTAACTATTCTATCCGTATCATATTCTAATCTAGAAATTCTGTTTCATTCGCGAATCATTTCGAAAAAAATATATAATTACAGGGCTCATCAAACTTCGTGAACGTGGTTTTTTTAAAAACCATATCTACACGAAACCAGAAGTCAATACTATTTGCGGTTATCTCTATTCTCATTAATTATAATCATATTTTTTTGGTATAACAAAAATTTATGAAAAATGTGCGAAAATTAAGATTTAAATATGAAATTTTACAAATACCGGATAGCGCCAGACAGACTTCGTCGGCGCCACGTGGTTTGGTGTTTGAGTCTCGCCAGAAAAAAAGACACATGGCAATATATTTAGACTCTTTGCATAAATATGTCATTGACCAAAGTTAGAGAGATTAGTGAAACTAAATATTTGGCTATTAATATCCGTTTTCGAAGACAGAAAAAAAACGATTTGTGTGTGGAATTGTGTCAAGTGTACAAAAATTGAGTTTTACGTAGGAAACGCGATATATTTGCTGGGCAATGTGTTTAAAATCTTCGAACTGAAATATCAAAAACAAAATACTTGAAACAATCTAAAAAACTGCTTGACGATTTATATATGACTTTATAGATTTGAAACTGATACAAATATTTGACCGAGTTTTTTTATATCCGGACAAAATAAAATGGAACAAACACAACAAGTAAATTAAATCCAATTTTAAAATAAAATTAAGGTATCTAACATTTTTTGTATTATTATATCCAGAAAAAAATGGAACTATGGCTTCCCCTGACATCTAGACATAATCAAATAAAAAACAAGACAGTGATCGTAGTAAACATAATTTTGTTATATTTGTCACTAAAATATAGTTTTGATTTTGAAAGTTTAAATGTTCGTATTTTCTCATCGGATTAAATCTTTATCAAAGATAAATCTGTGTTTTAAATATATAGTTCATAAAACTATATAATTGGTGACCCCGACGTGCTACGCGCATTGGACAGAATTACGCTGCATCTGATAGCAGACGTGTTACGGAAGCCGCCTGCCAAAGATAAGTATAATGCCTTGAAAACAATTATTTTTGACAGAGTTTCCAAATCTAGGTCTAAACAGGTAGACAAATTATTAAATAACATTTCACTAGGTGACAGGAAGCCGTCACAGCCACTTTGTGAAATGATGGACCTTGCAAATAATGAAGTAAGCGACGAGATTGTATACAAGCTGGACAGACTGCCACAATCACTAATAATGTTGGGCTACAAGCCATTGCAGAAATGGCAGACAGACTATTAGATGCCTGTGGATCATCATCTGTAACGGCCACAACAAGCAAGCATGAAGATAACAAAAGGCATCGGACACAAATATTTTAATGGCATTGGTGCAAAAAATGAACATACTCACTTCAGAGGTTGAAAGTTTGAAGCAGAGTCAAAGAGACAACAATGAGAGCAGGAGGCCCAGGAGCTACTCAAGGAATAGGCGAGGTAGGTCAAAAATACCTACCAAATCACATGTATGCTATTACCACAATAAATTTGGAGAAAAGGCCAAGAAGTGCATAGGACCGTGCTTTCTTAAATCACTGCTGAATCCGGAAAACTAGCATAGCCATCAACATTTGGAGCTGCATGCAATGATGGTGATACAAACTCTGTCTGTTCAGAGTTCCGATTAAATCCAGAATACGATTCCTTATTGACTCTGGCTCTGTTCTCTCAATACTTCCAGCTAGCAAATTTGCAACCGGTAGTGCCAAGGAAGTGCTTGTTCTGTATGCAGCCAATTCCAGTCCAATATTCACCTATGGAAAGCGGACTCTTGAGCTGGACCTTTCACTGCGAAGACCCTTCACTTGGCAGTTCACTATAGCAGACGTGGCAACAGCCATAATCGGTGCAGACTTGCAAGGCCACTACAATTTGCTCATAAATCTGAAAGGCAAGAGATTGACTGATACCTCCACAGGCTTAACCTCTGATGGGAAAGTTCTGAAAGCAGATATTATCAACATTTCCACAATAGATCGCCAGCAACCGTTCAAGGATCTACTAACAAAATGTGTATCTGTCACTAATGAACTACAAAAATAACTATTAAGCAGTCTCCTTTTGCGCACAGAATGTCTACAACAGGTCTGCCAGGTTCAGGAAAATTTTCGGTAAAAAATCTATAGCAGCAAAAGCCGAAATTCAAAATCTTCTAAACAGGGGTATGTTAAAAGCATCCAGCAGTCCGTGGGCAAGCCCTAATCATATGGTGCCAAAGAAGAATGGAACATATAGACTTTGCGGTGACTACAGGAAACTGAATGCGAGCACTTTGAATGCAACCTCATGGGGATTGTTTGAGTCACTTTGTATGCCGTTTGGATTGAAAAATGCAACTTAGACTTTCCAGCGATACATAAATCACATTTTTCAAGATATTGACTTTGGTCATGTCTGAGAGTGTGGAAGAGCATCATCGTCACCTTGAAATTGTGTTTGAGCGACTTCAAGAACACTCACTTGTCATCAACATTGAGAAATGCGTCATGGGCAAGGATGAAGAAGATTTTCTGGGATACAAGTGCGAATGACTATTCTTCATCAACATACCGAGCGGACAAAATTTTAAACTTTCAACAACCAACCACAGTTCTAGAACTACGTAGGTTTCTAAGAATCGTGAATTACTACAGGAAGTCAGTACCAAAGGCAGCATGAATACAATCAACTTTTAACAATTCTACAATCTACAAAGTTTAGTGAAGAAGGACAAAACTCCAATTGCCTGGCACCCAGAATCTCTTAAGGCTTTTGATGACATTAAGAAAGCACTTGCAATTGCAGCACTACTTCGATAACTAGATGTTTCAGCCAACATTTGCTTGGTGACGGATGCCTTCTACAACAGTTATTGGTGCTACTCTGGAGCAGAAAGAAAATGGTGCCTCGCAACCCATCGGTTTCTACACCAGAAAACTAACAACAACAGAACAGAAGTATTCTACATATGATGGAGAGCTACTTGGCATATTTGCTGTAATAAAGCATTTTTAATATCTTCTGGAAGGAAGATATTTTAAAATGAAGACTGATCACAAGCCAATCACATAACCATTTCAGCAAAAACTTGAAAAGGCTTCAGATAGACAGACACGACAATTATAATTTCCCAGTTCTCCGCTGAAATTTTGTATGTGAAAACATTGTAGCAGACACTCTCTCAAGAATTAATAGAAAAGAAATGCCAACTTAATTGTCAACTGTAGCAAAATTAAAACCCGCTTATACGCACAAATCAGATGCTTATTGTGAATCAAATTTTTATTCACATCTCAGGCAATCAGCAAGGAAATCAACTAAGAAAACTCAAAAAAGAAAGTTACGTTTAACATATGACGTAAAATTAACTTTTCTTTTGACAAATAGCCTTTCTTTTATTTTCGGGAGAGTACTATGGCATATTACTATTTGGAGTCGCCAATGCATCTCCTGTCGAAATGCGAAAGTCTACAAACACAACCGTTTCAATCCCTTGCACATTCCTGTACCAGATGAAATATCATTCACTTACCAAATACTAAAGGTTTCTCATATTGTTTAACAATTATAATAATTAACACTCAGATATCACAGCTGATACAGTCACACAAGCGTTATTTCAAGATTTGGGACTCCAACAACAATAACTTCTGACCAAGGCACACAATTTGAGTCTGCTCTATTCAAGTCTTTGGCTCAGGCAGTTGAAGCAAAGAAGACACGTACAAAAGCTTACCACCTTCAGACTAATGGACTCGTGGAGCGATGGCATAGGAAATTGAAAGCTGCTTTGGTGTGTTCCACTGAACCGCGGATCAAGATACTACCTTACGTGCTCCTTGGTCTACGAAACTCATTTAAGGCAGATATAAAAGCATCACGAGCAGAAATGGTCTACGGAACTACGTTGAGACCTCCCTGTGATTTTATCAATGTATCTGATAACTCAACAAATCCACAAATATTTTTAGATAATCATAGCCGAATCATATGTGCATTAAAACCAACTCCTACTGCTCATCACAACAAGGGCAAAATGTTTATTTTGAAAGATATGGGCATATGCACCCATGTATTACTCAAGGCAGATCATGTCCGGAAGCCTCTAGAACCACCTTGTAGTGGGCCTTATGAAATTCTAGAGCGAGTTACTGACCGAATATACAAACTCCGCATAAATGGGACTGAAAAGAACTTCACTGTAGAAAGATTAAAACCCGCTTATATAAACAAATCAGATACTGATTGTGAATCAGATTCGAATTCACATCACAGACCATCAGCAAAAAAAACAACCAAGAAGACTCCAAAAAAGAAAGTTACGTTTAACATATGACATAAAATTAACTTTTCTTTTGACAAATAGCCGTAATTTTTTTATTTTGGGGGGAGTATTATGGCTTTCCCTGACATCTGGACATAATTAAATAAGAAACAAGAAAGTGATCGTAGTAAACATAATCATCTTTTGTTATATTTGTCAATGAAATATTGTTTTGATTATGGAAGTTTATATGTTCGTATTTTCTCATCGGATTAAATCTTTATCAAAGATAAATTGTGTTTTTAATCATTTACAATGTAAATATATAGTTCATAAAACTATACAACGAACACACACAACAATTACATTAAATCTGATTTTAAATTAAAAATAATACATCTAACATTTTTTTGTAGTATTCTAAACTAACATAGGTAAAATAAATATAAGTTTAATCATTTTAACTAAGTAACTTTAAGTTTAAGAATTTTATATAAATTTTAGTAGTACTATTAGATAATAATTTTAAGAGACATATCGAAACAGACCACTTAAATTAACATTTCACATTTATTAAAATTCCATATTTAAAATATATTAAAAAAATAAAAATCACCTATATTTTCAACATAGTGAATTTCTACTAAGATTAAAGCTACCACATCACCGAGAAAAGTACACAATTGAAATGAAAATACACAGATAAACACAAATAGTAATACAAATAAAAAATACAATTATAATTACCACATTATTTACGCAATATTCAAATTTTAGATTTACTTAATTGACCAAAAAACGTCGTCAAACAACAAAGAAGTATCATAAATATTAGCGTAAATTAAGGACGTAACTAGTGGGAGCGACTCGCTTAGCATTTAATAAAAATAATTAATTATTAAAATATTAAAAATTTGTGAGGGGGATTTATGGGGAATAGAAAACACTTTTATCATTGTGACGAGTAAATGTTGATGGTCCCTTTCTTGGGGATTGCTATTAATCTCACTTATTATATTTTAGAATTGCATCCCCATTACGAAAGGATTACTCCAACTCCTTAACCCGACTTCTATGAACACCCTGTAATTACCTGTGGAAACTAAACCAAATAACTACGCGAATGAAACAAAATGCACTTTCATCTTATTTAATTTATATAATGATGATCACAAGTGTGAGGACATAACTGTACCTACGTACAGTTGATAAATCTACTGATGAATCCTTATTAATTACTAACGGAGTCACGTAACGACAGAATAACGTAACGGATTAGCGGCCTTATGTAAATGGAGCGAATAGATAATAAACAAATATATCTGACTTTTGCTGGAACAGGTTTTCCTCTCCTGGCACTACACACACACCACTATACACAAAATGGGTCCAGAAACTTGCGCCTGGACCCGACCGAACTCCTCGGAGATCGTTACATTTCCTAATGATTCTTTTCAACCCTCGACTTGGACCTTTTAATGGAGGAACCCTAGTAGAGTTGGGTGGAGAATGCCATTTGCACTGAGGGTTGTGCAACCCTTTGGCGACAATGCCAATTATTGTTACAATGTGCTACTTGAATCTTAAAGCAGAAGCAACCCTATAAATATTTTTATCTAAATCGGTTACATATTCGTCAAACAATAGTCAGCTACAGCATCATTATAGAAATGTCCTTTTTGCTGTTTTTCAAAAATGTATAATCTCGTCCTTTTCATCTCATTAGTGGGTTCAACGTCTTACTTTAAATTTAAAGGTATTTTACATAATAATACATTATTCAACTAATGCAAAATATAAAATTCATGGGAGAGTTTTTTGACAGAGATACCACTGTTAATAACCTTGGCAGTCCGTTAACATTTTTTGTAATATTATAAACTAACATAGGTAAAATAAATATGAGTTTAATAATTTTAACTAAGCTAAGTAACTTTAAGTTCAAGAATTTTATATAAATTTTAGTAGTACTATCAGAGACATATCGAAACAGATCGAAATATTCATCAACAGAATTGGAATATCTGTTCATATAACTTATCTATTGTAAAATTGCTTTGTAATTGTAAACCACCCAGATGTAAGGTATTATATTTATATTTATATTTATATTTATATTTTGTGTTTGTGTTTGTGTTTGTGTTCGTGTTCGTGTTCGTGTTCGTGTTCGTGTTCGTGTTCGTGTTCGTGTTCGTGTTCGTGTTCGTGTTCGTGTTCGTGTTCGTGTTCGTGTTCGTGTTCGTGTTCGTGTTCGTGTTCGTGTTCGTGTTCGTGTTCGTGTTCGTGTGTGTTCGTGTTCGTGTTCGTGTTCGTGTTCGTGTTCGTGTTCGTGTTCGTGTTCGTGTTCGCGTTCGTGTTCGTGTTCGTGTTCGTATTTGTTTTTACATTTGTATTTGTATTTACATTTGTATTTGTATTTACATTTGTATTTGTATTTACATTTGTATTTGTATTTACATTTGTATTTGTATTTACATTTGTATTTGTATTTACATTTGTATTTGTATTTACATTTGTATTTGTATTTACATTTGTATTTGTATTTACATTTGCATTTGTATTTACATTTGTATTTGTATTTACATTTGTATTTGTATTTACATTTGTATTTGTATTTATATTTGTATTTACATTTGTATTTGTATTTGTATTTGTATTTACATTTTATTTGTATTTGTATTTGTATTTACATTTGTATTTGTATTTGTATTTGTATTTGTATTTGTATTTACATTTGTATTTGTATTTTATTTGTATTTACATTTGTATTTGTATTTACATTTTATTTGTATTTACATTTATTTGTATTTGTATTTATATTTGTATTTTTATTTTATTTATTTATTTATTTTGGATTCTGATTTACATCATTTTGCCATTACAATTATCTATACAGTTGTAGCAGTTCTATACAATACATTGGTAATTATATAATAATAATTATGCTATAAATTAATTTTGCTATTACTTATAAAATTATATAAATATTTATATATCCTTATGTCATTACTTGATATAAGTATTTGTACATTGATGGGAAAAATAATCTTTACGTTTTGTAAATTCTTGAATAATTTTGATCTTTCTTGCTGATAAAAATTACATTCCCAAAATGATCGAGTGTTTCTAGGCTTCCACAGTCACACTTTGGATCCTGTAAGATACCAATTCTCTTCAGATGAGATTTGCAGTAGGAGTGTCCGAGTCTCAATCTGCAGATTACTGTAATAAAATTTCGACTTTCTTCTATGTTTTTAAACCATGTGTTTGGTGAAACAATCTCTCTCGTCAGTGCATATGTGAATCCTTTTGCCTTTGTAGTTTCTGAGTGGGACTTCTGCCATAGTTCCAAACCTTGTTGTTTTATTAAATGTTTTAAATCTAGCGCAGAAGTTTTTGCAAATTGATCGCCGCTCGTACATGCCTCTTCAGCTAGATTGTCTGCTATCTCATTGCCTTTTATATTAGAATGACCCTTTATCCAAAGCAGAATCATGGATTTATCATCAGTATTGATTTTCTTTATGATTTCTATAATTTTGTATATTATTATATTTGAATGTTTATTGACGTGTTTTATGGCTGTTAGACTTGATTTGATGTCACTTAGTATCAAAGATTTGTTAATATTATTGTCATTCACATATTTTACGGCAGTGTACGTATATCGCTATAAGTTCCGCTGAAAATATGGATGTATAGTCTGGAAGTCTTACTTTGTTACTGTAATGGATTCTTGGGATATGTATGGCACATCCGGTTCCCTCTAATGTTTTAGAGCCATCAGTATATATTTGCAAATAATCCGGCCAATTTGAGTTGATATGAAGTTCTAATTCACGGATATATATGTCCGTGTTTGCTATATTTGTGCTCTTATCTATATCGATGTATGATTTAATGTAATCGTTTAGCGGTGGGTAGATGTAATATGGAGTTTTATCATTGATTATGATGTTCTCTTCGTGAGGTTTAATTGTATAAAAACTATTTATTAGTGATGGAGCTGGTTTGTTTGTCCAGTAGCGTGTGGAGTAATGTAATCTTGCTAGTTTTTCTAACTGTTTGGGTAATAATTTACATGATCCATTAAGTTTTTTCATCAAGAATCTGTTTGCTAGAATCTTTCTTCTTATGCTCAGAGGAGGTTCTACTGCTTCTGTTAATAACGCATTTGTCGGTGTTGATCTAAATGCCCCTATGCATGTTCTTAATGCGGAATATTGAATTTTATCAAGTTTATTTTGTTCAGTTTTTGACGTTGTTCCATATATAAAGCATCCGTAATCTATTTGAGTTCTAATCAAATTTCTGTACAGTAAAAGGCATGTCTCTGGGTGTGCTCCCCATCTAGTATTTGTTATTTTACGAAGTATATTGATGCCTTTTTCGCATTTTCTTGATAATTCTTGTATATGCTTTTTAAATGTCATTTTGGCGTCAAAAGTTATGCCTAGTATTATCACGTTGTCTTTTATTATAACATCTTGAGTTCCAACCCTTATGTGACCTATGTTCTGGGGGAGTCTGTGTCTAGTGAAAATCGTTGCTGAGCTTTTGGTTGGTGATATATTTAAATTATTGCTTGATAACCATTTTATGTTTTCTTTAATAGCATAGTTAATTTGCGTTATACCTGATTCTATTGACGGTCTTGATATGTATAATCAAATGTCGTTGGCATATTGTAATTTTTTAACACTTGTATCAGGTATCTTATGGTAATCTGCAGTATATATGTTGAATAATGTGGGGCTTAAAATGGAACCTTGTATGATCCCGTTGTATGCTGATCTAGGGCCGATCATATCTCCATTAGTTCGGAGATAAATATATCTTGGTGATATCAACTCCAATGTTATTTTAATTATACTCTCTGGGATATTTATATTCCGTAGTTTTTTCTGTAGAATATTATGGTCTACGTTTTCATAGGCTTTGTCAATATCTATTGACAGTAGCAACATATATTCATTGTTTGACCCAGACCGTGTTCTTTCTGTTTTTTAGAGCTCTTCTCAATTCGTTATATTTAAAAGGTGACATCATTTCTGTTTCTTCATTATTATTCT